GAAAAGAAAGCAATTCACGCCAAACACTTCAAGTACGCACGCACCTGTCGGTTCTCAAAGTCCAAGTTTTGCCAGATCCACCAGAGACGATCGATCTGCCCGTGATGAAGCCAGAAGACCGGGTCACCGGGGGAAATGTACATGTCGGCTCCGGGATCACCACCAATCATAAAGTGCCCGGCGGTGTGAATGCCCAGGTTTCCTGGATGGTAGCGAGGGTCACCCTCCTAGAGTAGTGCTTCATGTCAGCCAAAAGAAAAAGAAAACAATTTCTGCTTGGAGGCCAAGTACCTAGGTAAGGTAGGTAGCCTTGAGCGGAGCGACGGGATGGATTGGATTGGAGACTTCATGTTTACCTACCAGCGTAGTCTGGAACTCGAAAATATTCTTGGTCTGCAGAATGAGATCCGTCGTGTTCCTCAAGGTAGCAAACTTCCTCCCCAACTCTTCGCTCAAATCACGCTTCAGACACCGCCTGTTGTCCGCCAGAACGTTCGCTGCCACCGTCAGGTTGCCCGGTTCTCCGTATTTGGGCAGTCCCACGGGCCCGAGGTGCGTCTGCATGCCGGCGATCGGACCCGTCGTCACACAGCCGCCACCACGCCCGTTGGGCCCGGCCGGGAGAATGTTCACTTGGGTGAAACCGGGAAAGATGAAGCCCGAGTCCCCGTGGGGGACCGGATCGCCGTTGCCACCGAGCGAGATGTCTGAACCGTCAAAAATGGGGGAGGCGAGGAGATTGTCGATATCGAGACCGTGGTTCCAATAAGCAAGGGCGCCTGTTGTTGTTACACGACTTTTTTGTTTAGACCATTGGCTGGACCGGGAAGCGGGGGGTTTCTTTCGGACCATGGAAGGAAGGGCCTTGAGGGGTTGGTTGTTTAGACGAACCTTTGTAGCCACACTTTTGAAGACCTTGCTCGAAGCCATGAATGTAGTAACGGTGCCAGGGAAGAAAGAGACCCGAGAAATGGATGAAAGGTGTTACGTTTAAGTGAAGGTAGATAAAGTCGTCAAAAGCAGAGACGGCGCCGGGGGCTTCGCCTGCTGGAAGAATACTGGGACTCTCCAAGAGACATTTGAATGCCTTGATGTAGTCGCGTCTCTCGGCCTTGGAAAGGCTGCGCCTGTTCATATGGTGTTAGTCGAGGTAAACTATGCATGACTGGTGATTTTGACATAGAATAGGTAGGCACATACCATTCCTTTCTGACCCTGACATTCTTCCTGTTGCATTTGCCATTGAACCTTTGGTAGGCATTCCTAGAAGCTAATGCGTTGAGCTCCTTGAGAACCACACCTGAGTCGATGGCCTTTTGTCCCCATGAGGAGACATTAAAGGCCAACACGGGCACTGAGAGGACTCCCGTCAACCAGAGCGCAGAAGGGAGGTGCATGTTGGCGACATAGAGGCGAATATGGAGGAACGAGGAGTGATAGCAACCAAGCCGTATGTCAGATCACGACGGCCACCTTTTATACCAGGAAGAGCATCCTGCAGACCTCCCTCTCCCGTTTATCAGGGTATCTTTGGCCGTCCCAGTCCCATGAATAGACATTCCCATCGTACCATCACCGACTGACATCCTAGTAACCGAGCGGCGCGGGTTCGTCTTACTGTATTTGTATGCTGGTCCGAATCTTGGATGCATCGCTCTATCTGTGCCGTTGTTGATCATCTTTTGTATGGTGATGCCGGTTACCACTTCAATGCAGGTAAGATGCATGATCCCTTGTGTTCCTACCCTGGGCTACCACTCAAGACCTCCATGGGGGCCGCTTTTGCTACGACGGCAGAGATAGTGCCGAGAAAGTGGTAGGAAATGAGCACGATCCAATGTCAACAAAGCCAGGGAGACAAGGTATATATGCCTAAGAATAATGTATATCTGAAGACCCGTACAAGGACAAAAGCTGGGTTTCCGTATAGGTAGATTGAGAGGAAGTTTATCCTTCTGGGCACATGCCATCGAGCTTCCACTAGAAAACGGGCATGCTAAGGGGACAGTTGACTAGGACTTTGAGTTGACGCAATTGAATAATTTTCAAGCTTCAATCTGTTCATTTGGGAGGTTGGATCCTCATGTGCCCAATCCGCTCCCCGTCACGGCAAAAACGGCTGTCTGAAGACTCTGCCAAGCAAGACATGATGGAGTTCGTGGAGAATTGAAGTAACGAACTTGAGTCCCTATTGATGGAGTTTTGAAAGAAAGAAAGGAAAGTGGGTAGGAAGAAAAAAAAAAAGGTTGGAAAGGAGAAAAGGGAAAAAAAGAAGGAGGAAGGGAAGATAAAAAAGGAAAGGAAAGGAAGAAAGAAGAAGAGACGAAGAGAGAAAGGAGAGAGAAAAGGAGAAAAGAGGTTGGGAAGAAAAAAAGGATTGGTAGAAGAAAAAAAGATTTTGAAAAAGGAAGAGAAAAAGATGAAAAAAAATAAGAAAAAGAGAAAAAAAGAAAAAAGGAGGGGGGGAAATCTCATCTGCCGTACTCGAGTCAGTTACTATCATCAAGTTTCAAAAGTCTGCCACAGCTTAGCCGACACATTCACAGCGGCAAGACCACTCTTGGCTTGACAGTTAAGCGGGAGGTAGGAGATATGTCCCGCCAGACACTATCCATCTTCTGTTCGCACAACGTGCTAACGACGAGATGTCCTTGACGAATCGGATAATCGCTCCTTAGCAAAAAGAAAGAAAAAAGAAAAAGGAAGAAGAAAACCACCTGGAAAAATTAAAATTAGAAAACCGGCAGTCTCCAAATGCCTCGATCACAACTATGTAAGGTAGGTATGTACGTAGAGTTTCGCTTGAATTTTCTCTACATCTCCCATCGAGTCTTGTTGTTGCCCCTCTTTCAGGCTGCATAGGCAGCACACTGTGTAACCTGACGTTTAACTTTAGCGACGACATGGTGATATCGGGACGGTATTAAGGGAGCACTGGATGTAGGGTCCCCACAGATGGAAATCGTACCACACCTATCAAAACAGCGAATAGCCGAATACGATTCGAGCTTCCAAAACCACCGCGGTAGGAAACGCGGAACCCCCTCCGTTACGCATAACAAGCTTGGTGTATAACTGGTCCGGCACCGTAGATGCGCAGACTTCCAAGATCCTTTCGACTCGCTCTCCATTGCCGAAACTGTCTGCTACCTCACTTCCGCATGAGGCGACAATGGTTGTGACCCAAAAAATACTTATAGACTTAAACCGCCTCTTTCGACACCGGAATGACAGTCAACTGGACAGTCAACTTCGCAATATCTTCTGTCAGCAAGTCTCCCACCTCGATAACCCCGAAGCTCATTGAGGTGGATTCCAACACCTGTATAATGGACCGTGGCAACGTCTGACCGGAAATGGTTTCGATAGTTGTCACTCGGAGAGCTTGCTCAGATGGCAGTAACTCAACCTCGAAACCCTGGATAGGTAAGCAAGTCAGCCATGACCACACGAGTAGGTGAAGAACAAAATCGGTAGTACTCACTCCGTACAGATGTGGTATTTGGATCCACAACCTTGGGTCCTCCATTTCTGTCAAACATGACAGTTGTGGCATCCTGAATCGAGAAGGGTCGACCTGTGTCCCTGCTGGTTAGTGCTATCATGGTAGTATCGATGAGCCGCGTTCCATGTATCTTACAAGACAACCAGCAGTATCCTTCATTAATCTGTGAAGCTGCTCTTCCAGGTAAAGGAGTCTTCTTTCCTCCACATGATGCAAAATTTCCGGCTTGAATGCTTCCGCCAGCTCTTGGTTATATGCCGTGTCTCGTGCGGTCTTCCCTTTCCCTCCAAAGGACTTCAAGGTTTCTATATATCAGCCCAGTCAGCTAATTTCCAGAACAGACTCGTGGCGAATTGGTTTGACATACTCCACACACGAGAATTTGATTGAGCTTCTTCGACGAGCTCTTCCCATGCTCGGTACTCCTCAGAGTACTTGTCCTCGGGCGGCCTGCTACCAGCAATTATATGCAGCGCTGAAAGACCATCACCTTCGGCATCCAATGACCCAGTATTATACCAGTCACATTGTCGCCAGCTGTATTCCTTGCTGAGCGTCTTCAGAGCCCCAGTCCAGTCCTTGTTCACCAGCGCTTGGTGCCACTGCTTGCGTCGCAGAGCATATTGTCTTGGATAGCTGCTAGCCAATTTTCCTCCCAGCCATAGCGCCACATCTTCCTTTTGGAGGCCTCGCGTACCACCAGACCCTCCGTCGAGTTCATCAAAGTCGAGTTTCTTCATCTCAAGAATCTCGCTCAACATCTTATCAGCCAACATCCTGTATCCCTGAACGTCTGCAGGTGCGAACTCTGCCGCCAGTTCTGCACATGCCCGGTACTTGGACGCATCAACCAGTCGCCGGAAGATCTCGCGCTGGACTCTCTTCTCGTCAACGTTTATGGAAGACTCGGTCGAGTGATCGCGATTGGAGTTCATAGTGACAACAATGACTTGCACAATGGGCACACTATCCCCTCTGTTTGGCTTGGTGGTGACAGACAACAACTGGAAGAAGGCGCCCCTGAGCAAAATCTCCCTTTCGCCCTCTGGCGAAACATTGGCCACCGGCATGGCACAGATCGAAGTGACCACGCTGTCCGGGTATTGCGTCCGATAGGCCCTGAGAAGGCCCTCATCAATGCCCCTCGTATGGACCTGAAGGTGCATGTGCACCAATTGTTCGCCCCCCGGTGACTTCTTCGTCGCGAAGTCTTCCATGACCCTGGGATCGGCACTGGTTGACGTCAAGGCTAAGGGGATAGCAAAGCCGCGCATCGTCAAGTCGGGGTTCCGCATAATGTCTTCATAGAAGCGGACGGTTTCCTGGTAGACAGGCATTCCGCGATGCGTGAGACCCTCAAAGTTTCCATAGCGCGGATCACCAAGTTGGGACAGTCGGAGGTTATACAGGTCAATGGTCAGGAACTCGATAAGTGTGGTAGCAACCAGGAGATGCTCTTCAGCAGCGTGTTCCGTACGGAGGGTGTCACTGACCAGCTTGAAGAGGTAGTCGTATCCCGGAACAGAGCAGTACATTTCCAGAGCATCGTACTGCTCGCTGCTGTCAGTGGTACCGATATCAGAAGGGCGACTGACCGAAACGTCGGCGTAGTCGCGGTAACCACTGAGAAGTCGTTCAAGTGGTTCGCGCACCTCTTCCGGGAGCCTCTCGGGCTTACACCATCTCCGCACGGCCTCCACAAGTTGCGCATATGCGCCATTATCCAACCAAGCAGCGCGCACTTCTTCGATCTTACTCCGAAGTCGGGACATGCGTTCACGCTCAACCTGGCCGGAAAAGCCGGACTTGAGTGTCTGGAGGTTCACGGCATCGAGTGGTGCCGAGAATCTCGTCCTGGCTGCCGAGGTGGGTTTGAAACGAGGCATGGTGGGCTTTGTAATATGTGTTCCCTTTTTCGGTGAGTGTCGTCAATGGGTTATTGGCTGAATGGATCAGTTGAATTCGTATGTCATGCTTGTTGGTCCAAGTCAGAAGGATAAGTGCCTTCAGTATGAACGGGCTTGACCCTACTCAAGGTTGGTTATGTCGTTTTGAAACCGCACAGCCGTAAATTCGTCTCATGAACTTCTCTTTGGATAGGTAGGGGTCATGCCATGGAGAGAAAGGAGGCGGTGGGAGGCCGCCCACCAAAAAGAAGGCCCCTCAGCAGTGTGATACCACTGACTGCTATGATAATTGGAAAGGATGGACGGCCCTATTTGGGTATTCATTGCGCAGAAAGCCTTGCAACTGAGTCACTCCTTAAGTCATATCTCCAAGCCAAGCCTGGACTGAGATTTGGAGGGTGTCACAAAACCCCCAGTGCCATGAGCATTGAGTGTGGCGCACGGCTATAGGCGATATCACCCAATGACCATATTCATCACGTCCGACACTCCACATGGGAAGGCAGACAGAAGCAGCCACAACGCCAACTCTTAAGGAACCAAAAGGGAACAGCCTCGTCCACGACGAACCGCGAGCGGCCGGCCTGTTCGTCGTATACGCTAGTCATCCCCGATATCAACCACACAATTCTGTTATAAGCAGGTGAGTTCAAAAAGGATCCCACATCCACGATCTAGAACTCAGGATGAACGGAAGTCTTTGCCATTTCCAGCTTGTATTGCCTTCCTTGCATAAGCTTGCACTTTGAAGGAAAAAGCCTCGTCAATTACCAAGACACCAAAGTGGCCACCGATTGACCACAAGGCAACATATCATGGCCGAAGTACTGACTGGTATTGCCGTCGCAACCGAATCCCTCACTCTTTGCATCAAGGCCGTCGTTATCCTCAAAAGATTCTATGTGACGGTCAAAGAAGCAAGGGAGGATCTCAATAAGATCCTCAACCTGGTCGGACGCACAAGAAACCGTATCGAACTGATGAAGATCACACTCATCGAACTTCGGAAAACAACTGACCCCGGTATTACTGCAGGCTTCATCGCCGCATGTGATGGACTCAACAGAACTCTGAAAGAGCTAGTCCAAGAGGCATCCACTATTGCCAACGGTCGATCTCGATTTGGTATTGCCAGACGTCTGAAATGGTCGATGAGCCACTCCAAGGTTGAGGAACTTGTTCGAAAGCTGGCAGAACAGGAGAAGGAGGTGACAAATTCGTATATGATGCTCAACTCGTAAGCTGATGCCATGTTTGCTACGAGGAGTTTGTCCTGATAACAAACCACAGATTAACCTCTCTCCGAACTCAACAGGAGCTGCAGAGGCTCACAAGGTCATCTGACGAGCGGTCCGAGATCACAATCGCCTTTTGCCAAGAATCAGAGGAGCGCCTTTCCGACGTGTCTACGTTGCGAAGTAGCTCCGAAGAGCCCTCAAGTAGGCCTCGTACTTGGCTTGGGCATACCATTACCGATTACCACTCTCCGGAGTATCTGCAGCTGCGAGACGAGCTATCCGAAGCCGTATACTGGGGTGACTGGGATGTCGTTTTCAACAAGCTTGAGGAGGGGTTCCGGACATTTGGTGAACTGTGGGGGAATGCACCACGAGTGAGTAAGTGAAAGTACTTTGGACAGGAAGGATAAGCACCGAGAGGCTGATACATACGGCAACACAGAAGATCGAGCGCAGTATCACCACCTCTCAATGTGGACTCCTCTTCATCAAGCGGTATATCATCATGCGCCAGTCCATGTCGTTGAACGATTGCTGGAATATGGAGCTTTCAGTAAGTTGCACACAGAATTTATCTTCAAGTCCGCTCAGAGTGCGATTGTTGACACAGGAGCAGAAACGCTCCGAACAAGAAAATCCGAATTCGGGCATCCCAACTTGACCCCCCTCGAACTTGCTCACGAGATGGAAGTCTTCCATCTTTATGATATTCTCCGACCAGTGATAAAACGTCCTTTGCCACCGCACACCCTGCAGAGAATCGAGTATAATTTTCACTGCCTGATCCGCAGTGAGATAGGGCAGTGTGTTGATACAGCAAAGCTCTATCTCCCTGCTCTTGAGGTTCTCACGGAGCTCGATGGGGAAGCTGTGTGGTTCCCGATTAAGTTTGGACATCCCGGTGCTGTACGTTATTACCCATCTCCGAAGTTCTCGTAACCGACTCTAACAGTAACCGACTCAGGGATACCTTTTCCAGCTGTTGGGCAGGGAGCTTCAGGTCAAATCTGTGAACATCCAGGACAAATCTTCGGAGACCCTCTATCGCGTTATGGAAGACGACATTTATGAGACTGACCAAATCTTCAACTTTGCCGGAGACCTCAAACAGAAGAGAGACATTGATGAAGAGGATACCGCACAATCCTTGCCGTTCAAGCTGGAACTTTGATGCCTCCAGGCACGACAAAGAAAAGACCACGGGTGAAGGATTCTTCTTCTGGCTATTGCTCCACAACCGGATAGTCCGAGCATCCTTGATCAGCACAGTCAGTTATGGGGTCCATATCGACGACGCTTTGGGCTGCGAATTGGCATATTATGGGGTTCGCGACATTAATCCCGCGACAAATGCCCCGAAAGCACAGGGCTGATAGAAACAAGCTGCGAAACGCACCCGGCCCACAAGAGTTGCCGGAGTACAATGTGCTGAGAGACTTGGTCCCCATCTCGAGACCGGCATCGGAAGGGGAAGATGTGAAACCCATTCACATTTCCGATTTCCATAAACCACACCGTTGTGAAAAAACCACAATGAAGGTTGATTCGGAGTGACGGCAAGCCATATCCCATAGCTCGGCAACGTACTCGTCGATGGTATCCGGGCTTCTATCCAGTGCGTACGAGAAGCGAGGCGGTTATACCCCCCAGAACTCGAGGGCTAACCCGTCAATCTCGCTGGGAGGGTATCCGAAGATGGCATATACGTGCTCCACCGCATCTCGGTAACCGGCGTATCCCGTGTTGGCGTACCCTACTGCTTCCACCTTCTCACCTGCCGACTGCACCGCTTCTTGTCATCAACCTCAGCGTGCCGAGCTTCGACCTCGTTTCCGGAGACAGTTGTCCCTGCGCCATGAAGACGATGCACTCGGCGTGAAAAAGAGAAAACATCAAGTCGCGGCCAATAAGATGCGTCCCGGGAGCTCGAAGACACTCGATGTTTCGGTTTGTCGTATCGCCGTTTACTTCCATTTTCAAATGTCCACCTGTTTTCGCCGGACGCGGAGCATAAACCCACCGCGCCAACCTCTCCACATGTTCCGTCGACAACCCGTCAACCGTTACTCGCTTATAGAACTGCGCCAATGTCTCCCGCAACCGCTCTAACGGCTCGCTTCGTACCCACCGGTTCGATCGCATCCGCTGGAACAGTGCCATGATCTCCCCGTCTACCGCGCGATGTTCGTCAGGTATTTTGGGCGACCATACCGCGTCAAACCCGCGGTATTCCTGTTCCGAGGCTAAGTCGGGAAGCACATAGACTGTGTCCTCGTGATGAGTTGTAGGGAGAATGATGCGGAGAGTGTTGGGTCCGTAGCGATGGGGCGCGTTGTGGACATAAGGGTTCTGAGGAACGGTGTCGGAGAGGAAGAGGAAGAGGCCTGCTAGGGATAACTTGTCGTGGAGCAGCTGGTCTCTGTCTTGGGAGAGGTCGGGGGCAGATGTCGCAGCGAGTAAAGAAGCGAGCGTTGGGACGCCGACCATGAGGAGCACGAGGGCCTTGAATGTGTACAACAGCATCGGGTGCCCCTGTAGCGCCGAAGTCCAATCGTAGAGTTCGTGGATGCGAGAGCCGGACCAGAGTCGCGGTCCGGCTGCGGACAGGAGATACCAAAATATCAGGACAAGGGAAGGGAGAATGGGTGCATATGAAAGGGCTACTAAGGCTTCGATGGCTGATGGCGCGTTGGCGATTTCGGGTACGACAGCGATCATTCAAGTTGCCGTTGTGAGCGTTATGACGGCGGCAACTCGGCGGTCGGTACTGCTTGGCCATAGCGACAGGCAGAAGACATTTCAGCATGGGCGTTTGCGAGGGCGTTCATGATGGAGGAGGAAGCCGCGGTCGAGAAGGATTCGGTGGAGGAGAAGCCAGGATATTATGGCGCCGATACGGAAAATTTCTTGGAGTGTGTTGTAAAAGGAGGACTGAATTAGCTTTTGCTCCTCGGACAGGGGGAAGGGAGACTGGGGAATGGAAAATAGGTAGGAAGCAGAACGAACAACGGAGGAGGGTGTATCGAAGATTGACCAAAATCGATGTTGAGTTCCATATGAATCCATTGGGTCTGCATATGGTACCCCTTCAGTTTGTGTTGTGGTGTTTTCGTCAAGTGTCTCGAGGGTAGAAGATCGCTGTTGTTGTTGTTGTTGTTGTTGTTGTTGTTGTTGTTGTTGTTGTTGTTGTTGTTGTTGTTGTTGTTGTTGTTGTTGTTGTTGTTAGTAGAAGAAAGAGGCCTATGATGAGGACTTTCCCGAAATGTCCCAAGGCGTTTGAATCGTGGGTGGAAGTCGCTGTCGGACCAAATCATCTGCAATTACCACAGGTATAACCTCAATTTCATCGTGGCATCAGCTGAAGTCTACAATGAGTTATTCAATGTTTTCGTTGATGCCGTTGACCACCAAAAAAGGGTAATCGAAGATTGCGAAGTTGAAGTGTTCACTCCGCCCCTCGCACTTCCTTTCTAATGCTGATGCTTCCACTTGCAAGCGACCACTACACTCTTGCCATGCAGCAAGCTTGTCTGCAGTTCCAATTGGAGGAGCCAAATGAGGCGTGAATGTATGTACCTACATGATTTATTTCTGCCTGAGGTGCCTCACAGAAAGGTAATGAGTCTGCAAGGTTACACAATGATACTGATTGAACCGCTATTTGATTCACGGCCTTGGCTCCAGCTCCCAAAGAGGACTGGGATAATTTCAGATAGATATCTGGTTTGAAAAAAATACTGTGCTGTCGTGAACATCCTCGCTCGTTAGCCAAAGAAGGGTAGAGGGGGACGCTGTGGCTGGAGGTGCTGTATACTCTTCAACTAATGCGTCCAGTAGGTATGTTCCGCTCCACTATCATTCTCCATCCAGGAGAGGTTAAAAAAGAAAAAAAAAGAGTAAAACTACACACCGCTTTGGCAGTTGTCACTGGAGTGACGAACGCTATTTGCCACCATCTTCCTCCTCTTTTCCTTGTCCATGATCTCTTGAACTATCCTGGGACGAAAATGGGGAGTACTTCGCATCCCAGCGTCGGGTCTGGTCGTGCCGGCACCGGCGCCTACGGCTGAGACCAATGCAATGACGATGCCTATTCATGCTCGGTTGAAGTCGAGGTGATGCCGGGTTGGTCATTCGCTGGTGCCTCCTCGGAGAGCTAGAGAGTTTTCTCCACCAATGCCGCCAAACTCATCGTCTTCCTCACCGTAAACAAACCCCAACTTTCTCTTCCTCGCTACCCTCGTCGTCCGTGTCACCGGCCTCGTCCACTGCATCCTCACAATAATCACCCCATATTCCTCCATGTGAGCCGCCCTCTACATCCTCGCCATACTCGCCCTGCGATTGAGATCCTTCGCTAGAGTCATAGTCATCTGCATCCTCATCGTTATAGATCTCCACTAGGTCCTCGGAATATCCATCTTGCTCTTCCTCATCCCATTGAATAATCTCCGTGACCTCCGCCTCCACATCCTTGTTGAACCTGATCTCGGTGACCAGGACGTTACACAGCGAACAGCGACTTCTCATAGGAAAGCCTGACTCGAGAAAGTCGCGGTAGAAGGGGAATCCACTGATGCCCGTCTTGACGATGTACAGGCAGCCACAGTTGGCTACCATGCCGCGGAGGAATAGGGCGGAGGATCTCGGTTTCAGTCTCGGCGGGCAATCCTGGGAGGACTGGGAAGGCTGTGTTGGGTTGTTTGGAAGGGGTCTGCAGGTTTGAGTACTCCGGAATGTGGTGAGGGGCTGGGAGAGAGGTTTGGATGTTAGCTTTTTGCTTCTTTTTTCGTGGACCAATATGGGCGATAATGAGTTCGACCATGTGTAGAGCAACGAACAAAACCGGCCATCTTGGTTCTGCCCTTTTTCTTTCCTGGCCAGGGCTACCGACCGTTGCGGTACAAAATGATGGCTTTCCGATGCCGTTCGCAGTTACATCTTTGTCATCTTCGTTGGAATCAAATCACTCGTCCCGGTTCCATTCAACACGACGGCACCTTCCTAACTGCTGAGCCAGCATCAAGTTTGGTGGTTATTCTGCTGGCAAAGCACGAAGAAGAAGAATGAGGGGGGGGGGAATAAATAAGAAGGAAAGAAATACATAAAATTGAAATTGGCTGACCCGGTCTAAAGAATCTGTCGAGTTGCCGCTCTTAGAGGGCTCTGATGATAGAGATCCCGCGGCCCCTTGGGTGGCGTGACTGATGTCTGCGTTGCTCTTAGACGACGCTGTTGACGAACATTCAACCGGTGATTTTGGTCGGTTGTTCTCGTTGGATATTTCAGGTACCGCCAGGCCCGTCTTTAGGGCAGCTGCGTAAGACAAGACCGGGGCCTTGCCCCCAGCCTTTGCGGTCTGCATTTTGGTCGTGTGTTCTGGTTACGATCGGGACTGGTCGTTCTCGTTAGACATTTCGGGGTCAAAATCTGCTAACAATTTCTTCTTGACAACATGGGCATAAAATAGAGTTGGATAGATGGGGAGTAATGCGCTGTACCCGGGGTGAACAGTTCTTTTATGTCTTAGTGACTGAGCAATATTGTGGTTCCTTGAGGGTGTTGAGTGTTATCTTTCGATCGTTGGAATAAACTTGCCAAGCATTGTTCCATGACCTTCCGACATTTGGACTGAACTACCGTGCTGTAACGAGGAACGGTCTTTCTTTATTTGCCGGTTTGGATGTGAATAATGAAGTGCATAAGGGAAAGAGAAAAAGGAGGACCTTATCAGTCCCATCCCGATTATTTCAGGACAGGTTTGTTCTTTCATCATTGAGGCCGCTCATGCAACACCGCCGAATGTCCGGTAGTTATGCACGACCTTTTCGGAAGTCCAAAAATTTTAATCATGATATCGGGTATCCAACGGGCATATTATATGCCGAGGTCGGGCTAATACTGCCCTGAATGTATCGGAAAATCGTGAAATTGATGTTGTCGCTCTCAAACCGTAGTAACTCGCAAGCGTGGGACTTGGAGAGGTAAGGCGTAAGGCACAGACATGTATACCGGAAACCACATCCTACGGTATATTTATCGGTCCAAGTTTGGATGCAAAGCTGGTGTATCTCTGGGCGCCACGCTCAATCAAGATGTCTCTCTAGCTTGGAAATTGTACTTTTATAGATACTGACAGCTTGGATCTGCAACAGTGTATAGGATGCGGCGCGGGGGAATCTATTCGGCTGCCGACCGTTCGGATGAGGAACACGTTCTCGGACGTCAAAAGTGTTCGGCTGGATGACGACGTAATACGGTTCGACGGGCATGAAGCTCGAACCTTGCCGGAGGAAACGTTTGAGACGAAGACCAAGTGACGAAGCACATGACGGGCCTGAGAGCTGGACTGTCGTTGAAACATGCTGGCTATGACGGAATGGTTATAGTGACCAAGATACCTACCGTGAATGGCCTATTCAATAGTAATGATTTTTTTTGCTCTGTATTCTCGGCTTTCATTGCTCTCCAAACCCCCAGATCGAAGCGACTGGCTCGTTTGAAGGTAAGTAGCAGGCCCATTTTGCGATGAGCACATAGGTCACAACAAGTTCCTGAATGGATGGCTGTATATCACGTCATATGGCGCCGTTACCTGTGGAGGTTTTCTCCTCTTTGGAAACCCGAAACATTGGCACATGTGGTTGATTCGATTTGGTGAGAGTTCAAGTTGTGCATCTCTTTCGTTGTTTGCCGGTTTCTCAGAGTTTGGGTCGTCGTCATCTGTGGATCCACTGTGAGGCCTCTCAGCCACTTGAACGACTGGATCCGTTCTGCGGAGACAGTGGCGCAGTGCCAAGCCTTCAATTATAACCCCTGGCTAGTAATCCCGGACTCCCGGCCAGACTCCGACCAGCCGCGGCGGCCCTCATTATCATCTGTCATGTTTCGTTCCGTCCTTCGTTGCAGATGCCATGCTTCATGACCGCCAGTCGTCATAGCACAGGACAAACTCAAATAACCTCAAGGGCATCGATTCGGCCCCGTAGTTACTTCGTTCCAGGCGGTCAGGAACGTAGGATAGCCCGGGTATGGCGGCAGTCAGAGTTGAAACTGAATTGATTCCTTGCCTCACTGTGACCACACTCAGACTACTGTCCTTCGACCAGTACGCTACTGTCTTGAACCAGACCACCATACAAAACGAGGCGCATTCGCATCGCCAAACAGTCACATGAGAAAACTCCAATCAACCGACAAACCCCACCCCTGAGAGCATTCAGCCCCTCTCTGACATCCCCTTTCGTCCACTTATCCCCAGAATCACAAGTCGAGCAATCCATTCCCAGTGCGCCAAGCCGGCTTCTGAGACGTATTGAGGTCCATCTCCATCTCCATCGAATCCTATCCAATCCATTGGGTCTGGCGCTTCTGTAATCCTAGAAATCCAAAGGGCTGTGCCATATGCCATCCTCATCAGGCCCGAGTAATAGATCCGTTGTGAAGCCCGCCGCTTTGTTCCTTATAAGTCTTGTCGTCCTCCTCTTCTTTTCTACGATACCCTCTCACACTTTTAATTCTACCTTGTTGAGCCAGCTCTACTCTGGTCATCAGCATCCTACAGCAACAATCGCAACCACAGCTACAGTCGCCTTTACGGACTCGGTCACGACCACCATCACTTCTGTTGACAAAGGACCAACACCATCCTCCGTCACTTCCACCACACCAGCCACAACAGAAACAAGTACTACTACAACCGAACAACAACCAACACTAACGTCACCAACCATGGGAGGCGGTCCAGACACCATCGGCTACCGCACCGTAGCCTACTTCGTCAACTGGGCCATCTACGGCCGCAAGCACCGGCCGCAAGACTTGCCCGCCGAGAAGCTGACGCACATTCTCTACGCCTTCGCCAACGTGCGCCCGGATTCGGGCGAGGTCTACCTGACGGACCAGTGGGCGGACACGGACATCCACTGGGAAGGAGACAGCTGGAACGACACCGGCACGAACCTGTACGGGTGCCTGAAGCAGCTGAACCTGCTCAAGCGGCGCAACCGCAACCTCAAGGTGCTGCTGTCAATTGGCGGGTGGACATACAGCAGCAACTTCAAGGAGCCGGCGAGTAAAGAAGAGGGGAGGAGGAGGTTTGCTGAAAGTGCTGTTGAACTTGTACGTTTGGAAGTCTCTAGATCTTATCTTCCTTACTTAAATACCCTTCCTTTCCTAGTCCATGTCCGGGACAAAAAGCTAACACTGCCAACCAAATAGGTCAAAAACCTCGGCTTCGACGGCCTCGATATCGACTGGGAATACCCGCAAAACGCCCAAGAAGCCTCCGACTTTGTCTCTCTGCTCTCAGCCTGCCGCTCCGCCCTCGACGCCTACGCCTCCACCGTCCCTGGGAATCCTCACTTTGAGATGAGTGTCGCCTGCCCGGCCGGCCCGCAGAACTACGAGAAGATGGACTTGCCAGGAATGGACCGGTACCTCGACTTCTGGAACCTAATGGCGTACGACTACGCCGGCTCGTGGGATCAGGTGGCGGGCCACCAGGCCAATCTATTCCATTGCAACAGCAACCCGGCTGCCACGCCCTTCAGTACCCAGCGCGCCGTCGAGTACTACTTGTCGACAGGCGTGGCGGCCGACAAGATCGTCTTGGGCATGCCGCTGTACGGGCGCGCGTTTCAGGGCACCGAGGGATTGGGGCAGCCGTATAGTGGTGTTGGTGAGGGGACGTGGGAGAATGGCGTGCATGATTACAAGAAGCTGCCGTTGGAGGGAGCCGAGGAACGCGTCGATTACGAATCTGGTGCTACGTATTGCTACCATCCGGGAACCAAGACGCTGGTCAGCTATGATACGCCTGGCATGGCGAGGATGAAGGCTGAGTATATCCGGGAGAGAGGCCTTGGTGGTGCCATGTGGTGGGAAAGCAGTGCTGATAAGGAAGGCCCTGATAGCTTGATTGGTACCGTCGTCGATGGTTTGGGCGGCCTCCCGGCGTTGCGTTGGGACGGCAACTGCATCGACTACCCGAACACCAAGTATGACAATTTGCGGGCTGGGTTTCCGGGAAATTAGGTCGTGGTCGTAGATGTCGATAGATCGGATGATGAATGCCATCGGACACCTGGCGGTGCCATGGTGAATGAAACATATTTCACAATCACAGTCAGCAGCGAAATTCAAGTAGCAATGATTCGGCCAAGTCGGTCATGCCATTCCCATTTTTGCTTTCCCTTGCCAGTCAAAGGTACCCTGATGTCTGCTCAAAACGCCATACATGAAGTTCCAATCCTAGCGAGATGTGGTATTGTCATTCCCCGTCCCAGATCATGCCCCTAAGCTTTCCAGCAATTTAAGAGCTCTTCTCGAAGACGTAGGTGAGGTGGCAGCGACCGCAGTACTGACGATCCTGCATGGCGGCCATGAAGACACCGGCACCGCACTATAGATATGGGGTCAGCGAATGATCGTTACGGCAACGGGTAGCTGAATGGTGGAACTCACGGTCTCGTTAGGGCACTCGCGGCGAAGACGCTCGATCTTGCCGTCGGAGTCGACCTTGTAGTACTTGAGCACAGCGAGTTTGGTCTTTTTGCGCTTGTGCTTGATCTTCTTGGGGGTGGTGTAGACCTTCTTTTTTCTCTTCTTACCACCACCACGGAGGCGAAGCACGAGGTGGAGGGTGCTCTCCTTCTGGATGTTGTAGTCGGAGAGGGTGCGGCCATCCTCGAGCTGCTTGCCGGCGAAGATCAGGCGCTGCTGGTCAGGGGGGATGCCCTCCTTGTCCTGGATCTTCTGCTTGACATTGTCGATGGTGTCGCTAGACTCCACCTCAAGGGTGATAGTCTTGCCCGTGAGGGTCTTCACGAAGATCTGCATGATTGCCTACTGAGAAGTGGTAAGGAAGTGTTAGAGAGACAGAGACACAGCAGAGGGAGGATGCGATTCCTGCGAATCCTCGTGATGCTGCGCCCGGCTTAACGCGCAAAAAAGATGTTTGACTGGGGATGGGATGTGATGGGAAGCGCCGAAGCGTTGTAAAATATCGTTATCTTCCCTTCCTCCCGCCCGCGGGAGAAATCCCCAGCAAAGCGATCATGGAAAATATCGACTTGTGCGAATGACAACAAGAACGAGGGGGTATCATAAAAGATGGGTGTAGAAGCCGAGCACAGCACCACGATTCATCACAGCATCGTGCAGACGTACCTAGACACAATGTCTTCCTCAGCAATCTGTAGACGGTGTGAAGGTGCTTGACGAGGAAGAAAAAGAAGTCGGGATTTGAAGGCGGCCGCGAAAGGCGGATTTCTTTTGTCAACCGTGCCCCACACAAAAGCGGAGTCAGCTGACTTGGGCGGGCAGCTCGCACACAGCAGGAGGAACCTTAGGGTTTCTGTGAGCGGTAGCCCTGGGGCCAAGCGGCAATTCACCTGGCCCCAGCGCCAGCAGGTTGGGCTGAAGCCCTCTGGCACTGGCAGCACTTGCAGCACAAGCACCCACTTGTGGGGCGCACAGGCCATCTGTGCCAAATTGTGGATCCCACACACGCTTGGCCACGCTCTGGCCGCCGTACTTTTGGACGTCGTGCCTTTTGTCGAATTCTTGAACTTCCTCCTCTCGTCCTTTCAATCGACAGCAACATCTTGAGAACCGTACCACTCAAGACACCGCCAAGATGGTCAAGAAGAGAAAGAACAACGGCCGCAACAAGAAGGGCCGCGGCCACGTCAAGCCCATCCGCTGCTCCAACTGCTCGCGATGCACTCCCAAGGACAAGGCCATCAAGCGTTTCACCATCCGCAACATGGTTGAGTCCGCTGCTATCCGTACGTCGACGACACCACTGGTTTGATCAAACGACGACTGCTGACCATGTCCTCTCCCCGCAGGTGATATCTCGGATGCCTCGGTGTTCGCTGAGTACACGGTTCCCAAGATGTACCTCAAGCTGCAGTACTGCGTCTCTTGCGCCATTCACGGCAAGATTGTCCGGTACGTTTGTCCGCCTGGCGGGGACAGCCACGTTCGCTTCCAAAGCGACGTGGGCGGCTGAGATGAACCTTGGTCGAACCTCTGCTCCCGCCAAACCCTACAAAGTATCCCCCGTCCGTCCCACTGACAATGATGACTATAGTGTCCGTTCCCGCGAGGGCCGCCGCAACCGTGCTCCTCCCCCGCGTGTCCGCTACAACAAGGACGGCAAGAAGGTCACCCCTACCCAGGGTGCTAAGACCGCCTAAATCAGGCGACCTTAGCGGCTTCCTTGCGACAAACCCGCTTCGGGGTTAACAGGCGTTTTCTGCGTTGGTCGGCGTTTCGATTTTCTGGGGGTTATATGGAATGAACATGAGGCCGAAAGGCAGATGATATCATGACATGGCGCTTTTTTGCACAGGAGCAAAGAAGCTGGCAATCACCGGATACACAAACGGAATCGGAATGGCCCATGGGTTCCTTCGACCAGTTAAGGGATACCAAGCTAATAGTCTACCAATAATGAGCACCTGTTGATGAACAACATACTCATCTCTCTGTGCCTCCCGCTTGCTTTTTGCGCCCGATGTTTGAGAATTCGTCTTCACTAACTTTAGGACCTTTGTCGACTGATATCACTCGTCCCAGTCCAACATTGCTCACCCTTGTTCCACCGCTCCCTTTTCATCGACCTCGACTCTCGTTCATCATTACGGCCTTGTCCTGTTCCTCGCCCTTTTGACTACGTCATTTTGCAGCTTGACCCTGCGAAAATGCTCACAACACAGCCACTGCAGTGGCATGCCGATATGGTCGAGTCGCCCGGGAAGAGAGTCAGCGAGCGAAGGTCGTGAGAGTGGGCGCAACGGAGAACTAGGTGGTGCTCGACCCTCTCGTGCCGTCCTGTCTTGAGGTTCATTTCGAGACTCGAAGGCTAGGATGAGAACTTTTGGGGGATTGACCTCGACGGTCCATTGCATTCGATTACCGGGCCCGCCATGCGTCCTCGGGTCTTTCATACCAAGGCGCACACCCTTTGCTGCACAATCCTTGCCTCAACATCGTGGCGATCATGCCATACATGCCACGACTGGACAATCACCTTGAGGATATTGGGTCATTACTTAATGAAGTGGCTAGGTAGGTACTCACGATGTGAGCCGAGCTACTGAAAGGAAGCCCTCGTCGATCACGTCACTTATATTGACGGGGACATTTCATGTTGACTTGCTAGATAAAAGGCATGCATTTTTATTTCATTGTCGTTCATTCACTCCCCGTCGCAGTGAAATCAGGCGCGGCCGGGTGTCAAAAGACAAAACTCATCACTTCGACGTGACGGGCAACACGCTCTTGAGAAGCTACAAAACTGGCGGGTTCGGAAGGCACAAGGCACCGGGCAACAGCTTTGTACTCTGCTTACGTAGCTAACAAATGTTATGACAAAGCCACTCACTCTAAATAAAAATGTCCCTCGCAGCCTGGGAGCATTGTCGACCTTCAACAACTTTATAGTCTCAAGACTAAATCACAATGAGTGTGTTGTTGCCAGGGATCTATATTGTCGAATGTCGAGCTGGGATTTGTTCACCCTGTTGCAACTGCTCGCGATGTCGGATCTCTCGAGTATCTACAGGTACTGTCAAGCTGTGTTTGAAACGACGTACGAAGCTACCGCTCTGATAGAGACTGGAAATCTTTGCGAATCCGTCATAAGCTTCATGATGGTCATGTTCTTTTATGCTGGTCAAAACAAAACTTATTCGGCATGACACCTGAGCCATCGAGTTGATAAGGTCTTTTACATTATAATACGAGGATAAAAGCAACAATGACAACAAGCTAAGAACAGAATCGGGCTTTTCTGTATATATGTACATTTAGCGTAACGAATATTTACTGGTCGTTCTGTCCCGCTATCTTGTATTCCATGATGATGTAGCGTAGGCTGAGGATTATAGTGTGAGCTGTGCTAGAAGAAAATCAGGAGAGCAGCGCCCTAATACGAGATTTGAGGCACTCAAACTGTTTGAAAAGCGTACTATAGGCTGGTGGAACGAATTAAGTGGTATATATACCTCCATATAAACAACCGAGGTTGAACGTCGATGTCTTGTTCACTTCTAGTCAATTGGCTCCTCAAGCGCAAGTCTCACTGGCGATATTGATTCCAATAAGTTGCGTTTTGCGACTGGAAGCGATTTTGCCCATGGGCATGACTTTCAACCGATGGACGCTATTCGTGAAGATGAAATGTGGATATGTTTGTTCCTGACCCTCCTGGATGCAGTACATGATGATAAACGACCTAGCTCGTAGTCCATACAATATGAACGAACTTCTCTCGTCGAGCAGTTCGAGATCCTTTTAAGAAATCCCCCCCCCCCCCCCTTCCCTTGGTTATCATGACCGTGACTGATTTGGGCTCGTTATGGCACTATCTGGTGCCTACACTGTAGTTAGACATGCCTGGTCACTTTCTTTGACACCTCAAGACTACCACTCAGATACCGAGCTCCAAAAACCCCAAAACGTCATTAAACAGGAAGAAGAGAGTAAATGCAAGCAACCATTCCCGTAAGAACGCAATTTGTAAACATCGAGCCATGCCCGGACGGAACCATGAAGGCGGGTTTCAGTGCTGCTGGATGCCCGTTAACCATGCTGTCGAGCCTGAATCCATGAGAGGCCGAGAATGTCATAGTAATTCGGAAACCCCACATTTCGAAACATGACATATAATCCTTTTGATAGTTACCAGAAGCATTTTGGCAGACTGAAAATTTACAAACTGTTTATGCCACCCAGTCCCAATTTCTCGATTTTATAAAGTAGCATACATGGAGATTCCGGGTAGAGTTGTCTAGTGACGCCATTGCCGGCGTACCATCATATGCCTTTCATCTTGCTCCAACTGACCACTATGCGTCACCTCCCTAGATGTGTGTGAACCTGGTGTTGAGCCGTTCGACCGTGATTATTGGACTGATCCAGCCGCACAAACGCCTTTGGAGATCAGATAGCGGACAGTGGCTGACCTGGCAGAAACGTGGCAGGAGCCGTCGCAAGCAACATCGATCTTTGGCTTGATCAAAACCTGTTGAGTAGAGGCAACTAGAGGTATTCAAGTATCAAGGCAGGTATGAATAAGATGGCAAAGAAGAAGAAATGCACAGGACTCGAGAAGGAGAAATGGAAGCAGAAGTGGCCCTTGCCTGCCGAGCTGCCCCGATCTGCCCTATCGAGAATCCCTGGCCGCTAAACCCAGCTGGGCGCCCTGAGCTGTTTGGCTGTGTGGGCTGCCACGAGGCGCGATGCGGGGCCAGCTATGGAACCCTCCGTCACTCCGTCACCTTCGACTTACAGTTCGTCCAGGGCGTGTCACTTTAGGTCTCCGTCCATTGATCGATTCGGGCGATTGGGGAGGACGGGAGCCAGACACCTCAGTCATGGGACTAAACCCACCGTGTTCCGGCTGCCGGATCGAAGGGACCGTCAACAAGCTTCCGGCAGATTGCACTAGGTAACCGGAGTACCTTTACTGCTTAGCTCCCGTTCTCTTCCTTCCACCTTTCCCTTGACGCTATCCCTTGATTTCCACGGGTTGAGCCTGTGTTCGATTCCACCCGACTTTCTCTTCTAACAACGGGCACTGGACTTCCACAGTCGCTTCGAGCACCCATCAAGCACCGGCAGTGTCCAGTGCAGCAGCTACGTTACCTCTTACATCCACTTTACGGACATCTCGGCAAGGGCGCACGTCAACAAACCCACCTTCACCAGAAGGAACCCTCCGTGCATCTCTACATCTACCTTACTCACTAGTACCTACCTAGCACCGACCTAACTCGACAATCTGCCAGTATCAACCTACTTATCCATTGTTGCAAGAACTGGCACTTGACGCTTTTCTCGATTCCTATTCGAATTCCTCTCGCTTCCACGCAATGCTCCGCTGCCCCCGCTAGGTTTATCAACCCGCTTTGCATCTTGCATCATCCTTATCGCCCACTCGCAGGCAACGTACCTTGCAGAAACGCCGTCACGCCGCCTTGGTGGACAAGCTGAGGAGAACAACTACACTACATAGAACATAACCGCAACAACACATCATCTTTACCTCGAGAAAGCCTGGCTCCAACCGACAGTGTTGGGCACCTAGCTCCAACCCCAGCTCAACATGGAAGCGCCGTCTTCCTTTTCAACCCCCAAGCGTAAACGTCCATTACCTTTCGAGCCAACAATCCCCAATCTCAACCAGACCAGGGCCTTGACTGGCTTGACAGGGGAATTCACCTTTGAGCTTGGCTTGTCCACAGATACCGAGGACGGCAGTAAGAGTCCACAGACCACTGTGGCACACAGGCTACAGCAGCTCTTCCTCAATGGCGGGGCCCTCGGCGGTACCTCTACCGGTGGGGTCTTTGGTGGAGGCATTGCGACCGCACGAACATCGACATTGCAACCGTCTCGGTCGCAACCACAACAGCAGTACTTTGGCTACCCATTTCCACGAATTTCACGGTCGCAAGACATGCAGGAAGTTGAGGAAGATCGTGAGCGACCAGGCGGGCCCCGAAAGCGAGCCAAGCTCCACGATCGAGACATTGACATGACGGGCATTGCCGAAACCCCAATGCGGCCTCCCGCTTCGACGAACAATGGCGGGACATTTGAAGCTGCCGGAACGGACTCGACTTCTTCCATGCCACCGCCATCAACTCCAGTCAATCAACAAGCAGGCGCTGTCATCACTCCAAGTGGCCCATTTCCAAAGCGACGACTGGCGCCCAAGGGCGTTCGGTTCAACATGGACCCCGCTGAAAATCAACAGGCTGAATTGGGAGACAACACGATGGGTACAAGCGGCACAATCATCACCCAAACAACAAAGAACAATGACATCCAGATACCATCTTCCTCTCCCCTCTCATCGATTACCAAAGTGGTCGCCATCCCCAGTTCTACACCAACCCAGAGACCCTTAGCGCCGAAGCCGGCCAACATCAGCATGGCTCCGCCGTCATCATCGTCAGCAGCGGCCGCAACAAAGAAGCCCCGGAAATCAAAATCACCACCCCTCCAACCTCAACCGGCCACATCGACCTCGACATCGTCCCCCCGCTCACCCACCGTAATTGATCCGATCCGCGCCAGCCTCACCTGGCAAGATTCCGAAATCACCGTCTACGACCCGGACGACAGCGACGACGACGGTACCGGTATCAACGGCATCGGCTTCAAGCCCACTCCAGAGATGGAACACGCGCGCAGGATGAAGCGCAAGAAGCAGCTGGCTGAGTATCGAAAACGCGAGATGGGCGAGGCTCGCGCCAGGAGGAAAGAGCGAAGAGCGGGTGCTGACGGATTGGGGGGAAGCGGTAATGAAGGTGGTGGAGGCAGTAATGGCGGACCCAAAAGCAAGGATGCTATGGCGACTGCTAAGGGCAAGCTGAAGGCTGAGAAGAGAAGGGTTAGATTTTTGGAGACGGTGACGAAGACGGTCGTTGAGATGCCACCGCCGACACCGGTCACGATGATGGAGGGTGTGATGCAGAGTGAGACGGCAGCTGCGGCGGAGGGTCAGGGACCTAGTGGAGGGGATGCTAGCGGGGGTGGTGATACAAGCGTCTCTGGTATGGCTGGCGCTGGCGCTGACCTTGCCAGGGTTGAGGCTTGACGGACGGGCCTTTTTCCTTGCTTGTGGCTCTTAATTTGTCCGGCAAGCAAGTTATGCATGATCAACTCAATGGCTTACCTTTTTCATTGGCATGTTTGGCGTTTGGGTGTTGGAGGGACTGAATCGGATACGATAAGACGCGAGCAACTGTGACGTGCTGGCGGAAGGGACCATGGGAAATTTCACTTGCGCATGAAATACGACGGGTTTGAATGTAGGATATCGCAAGAGAAGGACAGACTCGCACATGAGTCTTTACTATGCTTTTTTTTTCCGCAGAGCTGGGGCGCCTCGAGGTTAGGTACTCCAGAGGCATGCACTTTCTTTGCTTAATATCATTGCTTAACATGACTTCGAAGCGTAAAAGCACGCCTTTGTCCCCGAAGAATGAATGATCACATGGTGAACTCGCTGCCGTGGTGCGCCATAACCATGCTTCCATTGTGCGTAATGAATCCAAACAACGCCCTTTAACTTCAAAAGGTATCGATATATGTCCGTGCAAATCATAACCTACATCTCCTACTCCTAGCTATGCCCTTCTTCACCTCTATCCTAACACAACACAACCCCTCAGCACATCAAAGAAGCCCTCTCACTTCATCCCCTCACCAAAACTTGTACCAGCTCTTCTTCTTCTCGCCCCCAGGTGCAATCGACGTGCCCTGCACCTCCCCCTTTTCCGTCTTCTCCTTCGCCTCTTTAGCTTCCTTGGCCCTATTCTCCGCCTGCTTCTTCGTATAAACCGCCACCACCCTCTGCATCTTTTCCTTCTCCTTCCTCCTCTGCCACTGGCAGTACTCGTACTGCGCCATCGCCCCCACGATTCCGCACCCTACACCCCAGTTGGCCGCTTTCGGGATAGGCAAGCCCATGATCCACCGCAACATACCGATGCCTGCGCCTGCGCCGATGCCTGTCATGAAGCCTTGGCGGGCGCAGGGCGTTTCGTGCACGGAGAGGAAATCGGAGGGGGAGATGGTGGAGGCGACTTCGGTGAGGGAGATGCGGTTGGATGAGTGGGTGGGTTTTGGTTGTTGTTGTTGGGAGGGTGACTGGGGGGATTGTTGGCCTCCTGGGACTTGTGGTGTGGTGTTGGACTGTGGTGGTTGTTGGAGGTCTTGAGAGGGCGCGAAGGGAGCAAGAGGGGGAGAGGAAGAGCCGCTGCTGCTGCCGCCGCCGCCGCTTAGCCAGGAGCGGGCGGCGGCGTCGGGGTTTGTGGGTGATGTTGTTGTTGTTGTTTGGTCACGCGTCATGGTTGCGGTTTGCGACGGATTGTTGATGGGACGGGCTTCAGTTTCTCTCGCGTTCCGTCTCGAAAATGCGCAGTTCTATCAGGGCGCAGAAAAGTGTGGAGTTGTGTGTTTGGATTTCAATATATGTGGAAGTTGTTGGTTGTTATTCGCTTGCCGGGATTGCAGTGTTTGAATGTCAGTCACAATATGTAATGGAGGTAATGGTGAGTTGAAGTGATTGAGCAGGGAAACAAGAAAGTGGACTAATTGTCCAATGGAGACTGCTGGTTGACGTTCTCTCCGTCGTCTTCGCGCGGCGGCCGGGCGTGTCGCGGGGAAGCTTTTTTTTTTTCCCGGTGGGGACCTTGCGGGATTACGGGGAAGATGCAGGTACCTTAACGCACTTATATGGAGAAGATGGGCGACTATGTAGAGATTCAGCTTCCAATTGTCATCAAAGCTTCCGTCTAACAAACCGACACAAGTTAACGTCAGTTACACTTCCGCCCTCAGATTCGGAGCCGGCTACGGGACGAGCTCGTACAATGCCCGACCTTCTTAGGTAGAGAGGTACGTAGCTTTGGCTTGGAGATCCAATGGACGGCTACTTGGACAGAGACAACAATGGAGGGTCCAAGCTCCCGTCTCTCCCGATCGGGCCGCTTCATGATTCGAGCATGCCCGCCCCGGCGGGGGGCCGTGTCCCGAGCTGGAGGGAGCGTCTGCCGGCAGCCCACTCCCCCACCACCATTCCAACCCTTGTTCAGCGCCTTGACGCCCTGTGAGTGCCCTGAAACGATCAGCTTGACTGGTGGGGCATGTGTGCGTCTAGCGCCCGGCGCGTCAGACAAATTGGACCGTCTACAGTAGTCGCGTCTGGCGCGTCTCCCAGTTAAACGACTTTAATGGGTTCCATGAGACTTTCCAAACATTGAAGTGCCTCCCATCTCACAACCCCATCCTCTTCACCAAACCAAGGGACCCTGTGCCAGCCATACCTCGAATCTTGGCTGGCCCTCCATGTCAACCTACTTGTGAAAAGACATATTTCTGTTTCTTGTCTCTCCTTCCAATTCCGATTTATCTTGGATCGAGAGATCCTACCAAATAGGACGGAAAACGGAGGGCAGACCAAAGCACAAGACGAACATCTCGAGGCCTACGCAAGGGCCAATTCGACTCTTCCAACATGCCCAACACTTCTCTAAGGCGGCAGCCTCAAAAGGGCTACCGTCGCGGTGGCAAGAACGCCTACCATGGCGGATCCAAGACACGAACGTTCGCCGCCTCGGCCAGCGCCCGCGGCGAGGCTACCTCGACAGACGAAAAATGGGAAAGGACAGCCCTTGCGAACCAGATCGACGAGAACATGGGCTTCGCCCGATACGATGCCGGGAAGAAGCGCGAAGGCTGGCTGGTCAACGTACAACCGACATCCATCGACGACCCCCGTATCCCCGGCGGCGGCGGTCGCGCGGCACTCGACTGCTACTTCATCGAAGAGGACGGGTCAACATTCAAAGCCACAGTCGAATATGAGCCATACTTTCTGGTCGCATGTCGAAAAGGCCACGAAGGCGAGGTGGAGGAGTGGTGCAAGAGAGTGCCTGGTGGCGGCTGCATCAAGTCCATCCGGAGGGTCGAGAAGGAAGATCTCAAGATGCCCAACCACTTGCTGGGCTATCGTCGAACATTCTTGGAGCTGAGGTTTCATAACGTGCAGGACTTGATGTCCGCCAAGCGCGACGTCATGCCCATTGCGGAAAAGAACAAAAAGGGCATGGATACCATGGATACATACGCCGAAGTAGCATCGTGGGTTCCTCTCATGTACCTGTACAGGCTGATCACCGCTGCTGACACAGACCTCCAACTAGAGCGAACGGCGGGTTTGATCTTTTTGATGACGATTCACGAAATGACGAGCGACGACATAATGCTGGTTTTGCAGAGGCGAGCGATTTCATTGTTGATATCCGGGAATACGACGTCCCATACCATGTGAGAGTAATGATAGACTTGGGTCAGTTCTCCTTGCACAACCCCCGGCGTGTGTGCTCAGCTGACCATCCACAGACATACGAGTTGCTAGATGGTACCATGTCGAGGCCAAGAATGGAGTCACGACAGTAAAAGTAAACGAGGAACGTTTGGCCATGGCCGATCCCGTCGTAATGGCGTTCGATATCGAGACCACCAAGCTTCCCCTCAAGTTTCCTGACGCCGCTATTGACCAGATTATGATGGTCTCATACATGATCGATGGCCAGGGTTTCTTGATCACAAATAGAGAGATTATCTCCGAAGACATTGCTGATTTCGACTACACACCGAAACCCGAGTACCAAGGTCCGTTTATGATCTTCAACGAACCTGACGAAAAGGCTCTCCTCGAAAGATTCTTCCTGCACATCAAGGAGGCCCGACCAACCGTCATCGCCACCTACAACGGTGACTTCTTCGATTGGCCTTTCGTGGAAGCTCGTGCCAGTATCAACGGCATCGACATGTACCACGAGATCGGCTGGAAGAAGGACAGTGAGGATCAGTACAAGTGCAACTACAGCGTGCACATGGACTGCTTTCACTGGGTAAACCGTGACAGTTATCTCCCCCAGGGCAGTAGAGGTCTCAAAGCCGTCACCGTTGCCAAGCTTGGATACGATCCCGATGAACTCGATCCCGAGCTCATGACACCATATGCCAGCGAGAGGCCGCAGACGCTGGCCGAATACTCCGTCTCCGATGCCGTCGCAACATACTATCTGTACATGAAATATGTGCATCCTTTCATCTTCTCTCTCTGTACCATCTTGCCTCTAGGCCCAGACGATACACTAAGAAAGGGAACCGGTACGCTATGCGAGATGTTGCTAATGGTACAGGCTTACCAAAAGGAGATTGTGTTACCCAATAAACATGTCCAGCCTAAAGAGTCCTTCTGGGAAGGACACCTGTTGGACTCCGAAACGTACGTTGGTGGTCACGTCGAAAGTATCGAAGCTGGCGTCTTCCGCGCCGATATTCCCGTCAACTTCGCGGTTGACCCTACCGCCGTGGATGAGCTGATTCGGGATCTTGATGCAGCCCTGACGTTCAGTATTACGGTTGAAGAGAAGAAGGAGTTGAGTGACATCGCCAATTACGACGAGGTCAAGGAGCAGATAACGGCCAGGTTGATGAATCTCAAAGAGACTCCCAATCGACTGGAACGGCCGCTCATTTACCATCTTGATGTCGCCTCCATGTACCCCAACATTATGACAACCAACCGATTACAACCCGATTCCATGATCTCCGAGTCAACTTGTGCAGCATGCGACTTCAACCGCCCAGGAAAGACTTGTGACAGAAGACTACCGTGGGCCTGGAGAGGAGAGTACCTGCCAGCCAAGCGCGACGAGTACAACATGATTCGCCATGCACTCGAGAACGAGAGGTTTCCAGGAAAATACCCAAACAGTCCGATGCGGTCATTCCAAGACCTGAGCGCAGACGAACAAGCCACTCTCATCCGAAAGAGACTGCAGCTCTACTCACAAAAGGTGTACCACAAGATCCACGATTCCACCACGATTGTCAGAGAAGCGATCATTTGCCAGCGCGAGAACCCCTTCTACATCAACACAGTCCGTGACTTCCGTGACCGACGATACGACTACAAGGGCAAGGCGAAGGTGTGGAAGGGTAAGACGGATTCACTCAAGAGCTCGGGCGCATCCGCGTCCGAAATCGATAATGCCAAAAAGATGATTATCTTGTTCGATTCCCTGCAGTTGGCCCACAAGGTCATTCTCAACAGTTTCTACGGATACGTCATGAGAAAGGGATCTAGATGGTACTCGATGGAAATGGCCGGTGTCACCTGTTTGACGGGCGCGACCATTATTCAGTTGGCGAGACAGCTCATTGAGCGACTGGGTCGTCCACTCGAGCTAGACACTGATGGTATCTGGTGCATGTTGCCGGCGACATTCCCAGAGAACTTTGTGTTCAAACTCAAAAATGGCAAGAAGATGACCATCTCGTATCCATGTGTCATGTTGAACCATCTGGTCCATGACAAGTTCACCAACCACCAGTATCAGACTCTGGTCGATCCAAAGACCTTCAAATACGAGACGCACAGCGACAACTCCATCTTCTTCGAAGTCGACGGGCCGTACAAGGCTATGATCTTACCCACCTCTAAAGAAGAAGACAAGAACTTGAAGAAGAGATATGCTGTCTTCAATGACGATGGCAGTCTTGCGGAGCTCAAGGGCTTCGAAGTGAAGCGAAGAGGCGAGTTGAAGCTCATCAAGATCTTCCAGCAGCAGATCTTCAAGTTTTTCTTGGAGGGTACCACCCTGGCGGAATGCTACAATGCTGTCGCCAAGGTCGCTAACCGCTGGCTTGATGTACTCCATAGCAAGGGTGCAACGCTTGCGGATGAAGAACTTATGGAACTGATTTCGGAGAACCGCAGCATGACCAAGACATTGGAGGAGTACGGAAGCCAAAAGTCAACATCCATCACCACAGCCAAGCGCCTTGCCGACTTTTTGGGCGAGCAGATGGTCAAAGACAAGGGTTTGAACTGCAAGTTTATCATTTGCGCTCGACCCAAGAATGCCCCGGTCACCGAACGTGCAGTGCCGGTTGCCATCTTCTCTGCCGAAGAAGAAACGAAGAGGA